TTTTTTTATGTTTTTTTGAGTTTTTTATTTATTCTGGATATCAATCCAGATTTTTTTTTTTTTGTATGTTGATCAATCTGGCAAAGACCTTCTCCCAGTCTGTAGGCTCTTTCTTCATGCTCCTGTTTCTTTTGCTGGGAAGAAGCTTTTTAATTGATGCTGTCTCACCACTTATTGATTCTGGTTTTATTTCTTGAGCTTTAGGGTTGTTGTTAAAAGTTGGTGCCTGCACCAATATGCTGTGGTGTTGACCACATGTTCTCTTCTGCAGTTGCATAATTTCTGGTTTAATTTCTAGGTCTTTGATCCACTTTGAGTTGACTTTTGTGCAGGGTGAGAGATAGGGACCTAGTTTCCTTTTTCTACATGTGAATATCCATTTTTCCCTGCTCCATTCATTAAAAGGACTATCTTTTCTCAGACATGTATTTTGGCACATTTGTCTAGTATCAGATGACTATATCTATGTGGGTTTGTCTCTGTATCTTATCTTCTATTCCTTTGATCTTCATGTCTATTTTGATGCTAATACCATGCTGTTTTTGTCACTATAGTTCTGTAGTGTAATTTGAGATCAGGTATGGTGATGTCTTCAGCATGCTCTTCTTTATCAGGACTGCTTTGGCTATTCTAGGTCTTAAGACTGTTTTCCCAGTTCTGTGAAGAGTGTCTGATATTTTTATGGGGATTACATTGAATTTATAGAATGCTTTTCGTAGTATGACCACTTTGACAATGTTAATGCTGCCTATCCAAGAACATGAGGTGTCTTTCCATCTTTCAAGGTCTTCTTCAATTTCTTTCTTCAGTGTGCTGTAGTTTTCATTGTGGAGATCCTTCACCTCCTTGGTTAGACTTATTCCCAAGTATTTTATTTTATTTTTGGTTATTGTCAATGTGAAAGTTTTCCTGATTTCCTTCTCCTATATTTGAGTATAGGAATGCTATTGATTTTTGTATATTGATCTTGTATCCTGTTATTTTCCTAAATTTATCAGCTGTAGAAGTCTTCTGGTGAAGGTTTCTGAGTCTTCTAGATATAGGATCATGTCATCAACAGATAGTTTGAATTCTTATTTACCTATTTGTATTCTTTAATTTCCTTCTCTTATCTGATTGCTCTGTCTAGAGTATCAGGAACTATATTGAATGGGGATGGTGAAAGTGGACATCCTTATGTTATTCTTGATTTTAGAGGAAATGCTTTCAGTTTTATTTTCCTAGTATGGCCCTGGTCTTGGATTTGCCAGACATAGCACTTACAATGTTGAGGTGAATACCTTCCATCCCTAGTTTCTTTGGTGTTTTTTAACATGAATAGATGCTTAATTTTGCCAGAGGCTTTTTCTGCATATATGGAAATCATCATGTGATTCTTATCTTTAATTCTATTTATGTGGTGAACTCCATGTATTGATTCACCTGTGTTGAACCAATCTTGCATCCCTGGGATGAAACCACTTGATCATGTTGTACTATCTTCTTAGTGTGTTTTTGAATGGGTCTGATAATATCTTATGGAGGATTTTTGTGTCTATGTCCAAAAGGAATACTGTCCTGTAGTTTTCTTTCCCTGATGTGTCATTGGTTTTGTATCAGAATGATATTGACTTTGTAGGATGAATTTGACAGTGTTCCTCCTTTTCTATTTCATGGAATAATTTGAGAAGGATTGGGGTAGTTCTTTTAAGACTGAGAATCCATTTGGTTCTGGGCCTTTCCTTGTTGGAAGGATTTTAATTGCTTTAATTTCATTGCTTGATATTGGTCTAAATTGTCATAGGTAGAAAAAGGAAGCTAGGTCCCTATCTTTCACCCTGCACAAAAGACAACTCAAAATGGATCAAAGACCTAAATTGTCTATATCCTTATGGTTCAATTTAGGTAGGTCATAGGTTTCTGAAAGTTTTCCATTTTATTCAAGTAAAAAATTTCAAAATAGCAGGGTCTTTGTTCATATCTCCTTTTCCATTTTTAATTTTGTTGATTTTGGTCTTCTCTCTCTTGTGGCGGGGTAGTTTGGGTAAGGGTTTATCAATCTTGTTTACCTTTTCAAACAACTCACTATTTGCTGCATTGTTTGTATTTTTTTATTCTCAATTTTATTAATTTTGGGTCTAATCTAAATTATTTCCTGTATTCTATGATTTTGGAATTAGTTTGTCCTTCTTTTTCTATTTTTTCTTTTTTTAACTACCTTATTACTTACTATGATATGTTGTATCACTATTTCATTTCTTTCTAAATTTTTTTCAAAATTTCTCTTCTGAGTTCTTTTGCTATCCAATCCTCATTTAAAAATGTATTATTTAATCTCCAGGTGTGGAAATAGTTTTTGTTTTTTATCTTGTCATTGATCTCTAATTTCATTTCATTATGATCTTATAGACTGTAAGAATTTATCTTTGTTATCATTGTTTTGTGTCGTGAAACATAAAGTATTTCTGTTATTATTTCATTGAAAAGTTTCAATTGATTCCTATATGCAACTGAAAGGAAAGTGAATTCAGTTGTTGATGGATTCAATGTTCTATAGATGTTTGTTAACTCCATTAATGTAGGTGCACCAAAGTTTGGGATATAACTATTGATAATCATTGTATCTTATTTTTGGATGATTCCTGTAACCAGTATGAATGAACCTTCTTTTACTCTTTTGATTAATCTTGACTTTAAAACTACTTTGTCAGACGTGAGACTAACTACTTCTGCTGACTTTTGTTCTAAATTTGTGTGGTACATCTTTTTCTATCCTTGCACCTTCAGTCTGTGGATGTCTTTGCCTGTAAGGTGTGTCTTTTGTGAATAACATATAGTTGTCTTATTCTTTAATCCATTCTGACAATCTGTCCTTTGACTGGAGAGTTCATACCACTTACAGTCAGTGTTATTATAGAGAGATGATTTTTATTTCCTGCCATTTTCACTTTATTTATAATCCTTAATTCAGACTTGATTCTCCTTTGTTTAACTGTTTTAAGTGAGACTCAGCCATATGCTGACTCTGATATTTATTTTTCAGTTCTTCTGCATGAAATATTTCATGGAGCATATTTTGTAGTGCTGACTTGGTGATTATGAATTCTTCTGGTTTTTGCTTTTCATGGAAGGTTTTATTTAAGCTTCGATTCTGAAGGAGAGTTTTTCTGGATCTATTAATCTTCATTGACACCCATTATTTTTCAGGGCTTGATTATATTATTCCAACCCTTCATGGCTCTTAGGTCTGGAATAAGAAATCAGTAGAAATTTGAGTTGGCTTAAATTAATGACTGATGGTTTTTCTCTTCTGTCTTTTTAATTCTATCCTTGTTTTGCATATTAGGTGTGTCTTGTAGAGAATCTTTTTTTTTTAAATCTTGCCTGGGGTTCTAAATGTCTCTTGTATTTGGATTTCTATCTCAGAAAATTTTCTGTTATTATTTCATTGAAAAGCTTCAATTGATTCCTATATTTTGTCTCTTAGTGTTATCTTGGATTTCTCAGATATTCTGGTCATGGTTTCTAAACATCTTTTTTTTTACCATTGATTTTATTTTCAAGATCATATACTTTTGTATATAATCTTCAAGACCTGATCATCTGTCTTCTATGTCATCTAATCTATTGGTGATACTTTTAACTGAATTTTTAATCTGATTTATTTCATCTTTTATTTTTCAGGATTTCTGTTTGGTTCTTTTTTAGAATCTCTCTTTATTGAAACGTTCTTTCACATTCTATATTTTCTCTCTTATTTCATTCCTTACATCTTCTTTTAGTCCATCAAGCATTTTTATGAACTTTCTAAATTCTTTATCCAACATTTCCTCCAATGGGATCAGTTGTTGAAGTGTTGCGCTGTATGCTGTTTGGGGTGGTTTTTTCCCTTGCGTTTTCATATTGTTTCTACCCTCTCCTGGGATGATTATTTCTTCTAAGGAAGTATATCTTCTATCCCTTTGTGCACGGGACTGTTTAGTGAGCATCTTTATCTTAACCACAGGCTGGGTGAGTATCCAGATATTGCTATTCCCACTCAATGTGTATCCCCTGCTACTTCCAGGACTGGCACCACTTTGAGAGAAGATTCCAAATCCTATTAAATTCTATCAGTTCAGAGTGAAGCCATCTATAATAAATCCTGAAAATATTCCTCCAAGTTCCTCTGACTGTAAAATTATAGTAATGTCCTTGAACAAGTTGAGAAATTATTTATTAAAGAGAGTAAGGTCACTATTATACACTAATAGAATTGAAAATGGAAGAGAAAATGTGGGAGAGTGAAAAATAAGAAAGAAAAGATAGGGAAAAATAATACAAACTAGGATAAAAATAACAGAAAAAACGAGGGAGGGATATGAGATAGGAGCAGGAAATGTTGACTAAGAGGGACAGGTGTAAACCTGAACAGGAAAACAAAGATATAAAGAATGATTCCAATTAATGCTTTAAAACTTTAGAAAAAATGGGGCTGGGATTGTGGCTTAGAGGTAGAGCACTCGCCTAGCATGTGCAGGGCCCTGGGTTCGATCCTCAGCACCACATAAAAATAAATGAATGGAATAAAGGTATTGTATCCAACTACAACTAAAAAAAATAAATATTAAAAAAAAACTTTAGAAAAAATGTAGTCAAATGGTTCAGGGATCTAATATTGGATTATAAGGGAACATCTGTCAATTCAATAAGAAAGGCAATACTAGTAAGATCAAAATTGACAGTAGAGCTATTTATGATAATCCATGCTGAGGTAGGAAGATTTCTTATTGAGTCTTCCTGATTTGGATTTCATTAGGATTTAGAATCTTTAGAAGATGCCCCCTACTCTCTGACTATTCCTCCAAATTTCCCTGGGTGTAGAGGTAGGGATCATACCAGCTCACCCCTGAGAAATTCTCAGAGGTCTCCTCTGGTCTTTGGTGTATCCAGGTACCTACTAGCTTTCTATTGAGTCAGAGAAGAAGGTTCTTAATTGTCTGTGACTTAGCAGCCGGGTGGCACATAGAAGGCACTCTCTTTGTTAAGTTGGACTGAACTGAGCAGGAGATAGGATTGAAAATAGAGATTAAAGTTAGATTGTAAAGTCTTGATTGACAAATCAAGTTTGAATTCCATCTTAATTATTGGGATGGCTGGGATAAGATAGAGAGAGCTAGATGTGTGGAAGATTTGGGGGCAAAGAAGTACATTCTGCTTATCATGGTTGGTAAGCCTCATGCAGGTAAGTTACATTGTACAGCTCGGTGTGAATGGAACTCAGCTCTGTCTTGCAGGAATATACTATTGACATGTCTTTGTCGACTGATTATGATACTAAAAATCAGCCAAGAGCGACAATCCAGAAGCTAAAGTTTTTCTCTGAGCTCTCCTTTGGTTTATAAAAGAAAATGGATGCAACAAATCTTATTAAAACTCTGAGGAAAATTATTAGCATTGAAGTTTCAACCAAAAATATATGATCAGCCACCAATCAATAATAAAGATTATTATTCTAGCCAGGCATGGTAGCTCACACCTGTAATCTAAGTGGCTCAAGAGGCTGAGGCAGGAGGAGCACAAGTTCAAAGCCAGCCTCAGCAACTTAGTGAGGCCCAAAATGACTTAGTGAGACCCTGTTTCTAAATAAAACATAAAAAGGGCTGAAAGCCCTAGATAGAGGAATTAGGCAAAATATAGAAAATGGCATCAAGATGAGAGAGAGAGAGAGAGAGAGAGAGAGAGAGAGAGAGAGGTTGATTTTATTATTCTCAATATTTGTAAAAGGGAATGATCTAGCATAGTTTTGTATGTCCTCTCTATTGCAACATTTTCTTCAAGTCTCCATTTGTTTATTTTGTCCAAGTTGACAAGAATAGAAGAATCAGAATTTGAGAAATTATCCATCAAGGACAAACATGATAACTGTTATCACAAAGTCCCCCAACTTCAGAATTTTTCAGATACAATAAAAGCTCATAAATTAATCTCATTTTTTTTCTAAGAGCTTAACAGAATCCATATATTTTCCTATGATAAGATCATGCAAGCTAAGAAAATAAGCTAATTTGTCTTTGACAAGTATTGTATCAACTTAATGTGCTAACCGTGTTCATCTCCTTGCTGATTGGAAGCTCTGATTAACAGTTACAAATGTCTTTGAATGAGAAAATGAGAAAACAATTGAATCATTATTTGTAAGCAGCTTTGTTGGTGGTAAAAATGTTTTTCAAACAAATATTTTTCAAGGTGCATACATAATAAAATATTGCCTTTGGAAAATATTTTGGGGAAGAAATTTCATGCATTTCTGTTTAGGGACTCCTGTGCTAGGGACATGGAGTTCTGAGTGTTAGCATAATGTCAAGGCCAGCCTTTCAGGATCTCTTCTTACCCATTACCCCAACACTTACTTAAGCCTTCTGCATGCTGTAGATCCTTTGTTAATCGGTTGAAAGCGTCTATTCCCTAGTTTCTGTTGGTGTGGTTTCTTTCTTAGCATGAGGAATGAACGTTCTCCAGATTTTATCCCTAGGTTTCTTCCTCTTCCAGTTTCCCATCAAATCAAAGCAAAGTGAAACCCTTTTATTTCTGGCAGAACTGGACAGGTGGTTCAGGACCCCTCCTTACCGAGAACTGTGATTGTGTCATTGAGGTTAAAGAGTCATCACCAGGGTTTCATTTGAACACCTCGGTGGCTTGTCCTCATCTCATTTCTCACGTTGTTCTTGTGGTCTTGCTGCTGAGGCTTCCTGCTGAGAACTCAGAGCCACGGAGGAAGCTTCAGAGGAGAAAGCAAAGCCTGCTAGCACCTTGGCCTGCGCAGAGAGAGCAGCCCCAACCTACTGGTAAACATTCTTTCAACCAGTACTTTTTTCCCAGTGTCGTGAAAGACAATATTGAAAGGGAAAAACCTTATGCTTATTAAGGGAAACAAATGGCTGTTATTTGAATCAAAAGAAAGAACACAAGCGGCTTGCATTTCAACAAGCAAGATCTCATGCAAACCGCACCTTATTCTAGAAAATGGAATGTAGTAGACACATGTCTGGTCCCCAACTGAAGGAGGGACATGCGCAAAACCCTGGCCTTTTGGACAATGAGATAGAAGAAGTGGGAAAAAATGAGAGTTTGTTTTTCATGTTATTTGCTTCTGTGTTGGTTGAAGCAAGCTCAGAGCCTGTAGCACTCGAGATGAAAAACTGGAAAAAGCTGAACTAAGTGAAATAGTATGAAGATGTAGAGTTAGGGGTAGTATCCTTTTTCAAAACAGAGCAAGCCCAGCAATGTCACCTCCAGAAACCATTATGTGGAATTAAAAAAAAAAACTCAGAGCAAAGAAATTTATTAAGAAGAGGATTGTGTGTGTGTGTGTGTGTGTGTGTGTGTGTGTGTGTGTGTGTGTGAGCCCCTCTCCTTTGGCTCTGCCAATGTGTAGGGAAACAGACCTCCTCTCCAGGCAGCATGCCCTTATCATACCCTAGCCCCTCTGGAGCTGGCACACTTCAGCCACATCGTGGTGACATCAGGGAGGGGCTTTATGTCTTCTCTTGTTTTTTTTTTTCTTGAAAGAGGAAGTTTGTTTTTCAAAATAGTTATTGTTTGCCATTTAGGAGGGCTGAGATCATCACCTTCACTTGCTCATTGGCAAGTTAATGGAGAAAATTCTTTCGAGAGGCATGGAAGAGCCACCCCGCTCAGCTGATCAAGGGGATCAGTGACATCATCCCCAGCCTGCGCCATCTGGAAGGCCCATGGCAAGGATGTGAGCGGAAGGGAGCCCGCCCATGTTCTGTTTCCTGGTGCCCCAAAGATGGTCTTTGGCCTGACCAGATCAGCACTTGCCTCTTTTTCCTTTATTAACCTTACCGTTTTGAGCACACATTGTAAAACCTATGATATTTTGTTTTCCTCTTAAAAAAATATATGTGATACAAACCGCTGGTACTATTCTGAAGAACTCTTTCCCAATGTGTTTACCAGCTCCTTAATTCGACTACTATATTTTGAAGTTTCGTGCTTTCCACCTTCCTGGAGCTCTGGTAAACAGCGCCCAGGAATCCTAAAGCTGCATCTGTATAGACCATAGAGGCTTATTTCAAGGCTGGTGGTTTTAATTCTGTTACACAAGGAATCCAGAAGAATACAGAGTCCCTTCTCCCTCAGTGGCTGGCTCCACTCAGCTTGCAGTGCCCAATTTCAGAATTCTTCTGGGTGGCCAAAACTTGGAGAATGGAGAACGCCTTTGAAGAAGCAGTGTGCTCCATGGTTAAGAGAATCTAGTTAGTTGTCAGTCAACAGATTATTTAAGAATACATTATCAACACTTATTTACAGGTGTCTATGCCTTTACGGTGTGGGGATTAATCACCATCTGACAGCATTCCTAAAAGTTGGAGAATACAATGAATATTATGACTTCCTTCCTTTACACGGATTAAAAAATGGGTTCATAGAGCCGGAATAACCTGCCCACAGTTAGTCAGAGGGGGAAGTCTAATGTGCCCTTGTTCACAGCATCAAATTATTTGTATTATGCTATTCAGAGTGTGACTAGAGAAGAGAAGGCTGTTTTTCTGAAAACTGTTTCAAAACTCTGCAGAAAGATAAGCAGCTTGTGAACAAATTGCATCCCTAAGCACCCTAATTGGCTCCCAGTAAAGGAGGCAGTATATCGATCTGCATTTCTGCTCAAGCTCCTTAGAAAGGTACAAAGCAGACTTTTGCATCCATCTGCTTAGTCGAGTTTTTGTCTGAACACAAGTAGTATTAGCTTTGGGGTATTGTCTGGAGGATCCAAGGGGGTGGGATGTGTACAAATTATGTCAAATAAAAGTTTTCCAAATTAAGCCAAATAAAAGTTTTCCGAAATGCCTCTCTACTTCTTCCTTCTCACCTATTTTCTTTCTCTAAAGATTCCTTTTAGAAGGGCTGGTTAAAGAAAATCTCAGAGTGAAGAAAGAAAAATGAATTCAATAAGGTTAGGCGTTAAAAATTTCTAAGATTTTTAGAAACGTCCCTGATGCTATTTTAATACCACACCACCTTGCTTACAATAGCTTTGCAAATCTTGAAGTCAAGAAGCGTCGGTCCTCTAGCAGTGTTATCATTCAGCATTGGTTGGCTCTCCTCTGCCTCTCCACGTAAAGTTCAGGATCAATGCATTGATATGTGGAATTTTGATTGGGATTGCATAGAATGTAGAGATCAAGTCGGGGGCAATTGTTATCTTGACAATACTGAGTTTTCCTGTAAATGAACATGAACTCTCTCTCTACTTGTGTAGTTCTTTTTAAAATTTATTTGATCTAATACTATTTCTAGAAGATTCAATATGAAAGCAACATTGTTTTAAAAACTTGTCTTTAACATATTTTTTTTCATTTATTCATCAGCAAAATGAATGCCTCCTTATAGACCTCCCTATCATTCTGGAAGTTATCCATGTTTGAAATCCATAGGGTAGAAATAAAATCACAGATAATGTTTTTTATTTACTCAAGCATTAATTTTTCAATATTAGAATGAACTGAATAATATTGCTATGGTTAGGATAAGCGTCCCCCAGATGCCTATGTGTTAAGAGCTTGGCTCTGAGCTTATGGAGCTATTGGGAGGTGGTGGGCACATTTGCATTTTGAAAGGTGGAGCTTCATGGAAGGAAGTTAGGTCACTGAGGTGTGCCCCTGAAGGAGATATTGGGACTGCAGCTCTTTCCTCTCTCTCTCTCTCTCTCTCTCTCTGTTTTCCAGCCACCTTGAGGTAAAAGCTTCCTTCACCATGTGCTCCCTACCATGATGTATTATCTCACCTTGAGTCCAAAGGCAACAGGGGCTGAATGACCATGGAGCAAAACCATTAACAAAAATAAATCTTTTCTCCTTATAAGATGATTATCTCAAGCATTTTATTACAGTAGCATAAATTTAACTAACAAATACATGTTTTTAATCTTTGTAGTATGTAGTGGGTAAAGACTGTTATTCTTAAATTCATCCACTTCAGATCCCAATTTCAGAGTTTGGAAGTGCATAGACCCCCTTGTCATGTGTTAACTTTTGCCTGCCACCCATATTATCCTAGTGTGGTATAATTGCAGAAATAATTTATACATGCCAATGGCTACCTTTCCAAACCTATTGCTTAAGTAGCATCTGGAATGAGAATTGCCACATCTTTTCTGCATTGGAGCTAAGTTTGCCTTGGGATCCCTGTCTAAATTTCCCCCAATTTCTAAATTGACCTCATAAGTAAATCACTGCAGATTCATCAAAAGACATTTCTTACTTCAAGTTATCATTTATTCCATGATTTCCCCCCAAGTTAGCAACTAGTAAAATGCTTGTGGGCGAGATCAACCCATGCTAGGAGGAACAAGCAAGTAGCTAGCAGCTGCTTCTTTCTATGGATGTATAGTGTTCACTTCAGCTTCAACATCAATAAACCCGGGGAATCCCTCTCAGAGAATGACCCTCAGGTAAAATTTTAAGTGTGAATAGATATACAGATGATCCTCTACTTAAGATGGTTTGATTTACAGGTTTTCAAGTTGTGATGGTATGAAAGCAACAGGCATTCAGTAGAAGCCTCATTTTCATCTTTTTTCCAGGAGAGCAATATGCATTTCATGACCTTCTCTCAATGCAGAGCTGTGGGCTAATGGAAATGTTCCAGGCACATTCAAGGGAGGGTAGGCTGGGCTATGAAGGTCGGTAGGATAGGTGTATTAAGTGCATTTTCAACTTACAATCCTTTAAGTCTAAGACAGGTTTATTGAGATGTAACCCTATCATAAGGGAAGTAGCCCCATTAGGAATTGAGGAGCACCTGTAATTAGCCTCATGAAGCCTGAGTAAAGTTTCCATTAACTGTAGAACCATCTGCACTCATAAGGGTCTATCATGCCCATATTCAGCAGCTTCTCCAGTTCTCCATCCTCTACCACCCTCAAAGTTGGTGATGCCCCAGGGCTGCACCGCCCAGTACTGTAGCCATTAGCCACATGTGGTGATTTATGTTTTCATTAATTAAAATTCACTGAAATTTAAAGTTTAGTTCCTCTGTCACACTAGCTGCATTCCAAGTGCTTCATAGCTGTAAGTGCTTAGTGGCCACCGCACTGGACAGTGCAGAATTAGAATATATTCCTCACTGTAGAAAGTTCCTTAAGACAGAACTGGCCTAGATCGGTGGTTTTCAAATGTCACTGTGCAGGAGGATCACCAGGAACCTAGATTAAAGTGCACATTCTCCCATCAAACTGAAGAGCTCTGCACAGCCAAGGAAGCAATCAACAAGGCAAAGGGTCAACCACTTTGGGAGAGAATATTTGCAAACCATACACCTAATTAGGGGTTGGTGTCTAGAATAGATAAGGAACTCTTATCAATTTCATATCTCTTATCTGAAATGCTCTGGACACAAGGTGTTTTTTTTTATTTCAGGTTTTGGAACATTCACATGCATATAAGGAGATATCCCAGGGAGAGAACCAAGTCTAAACATGAAATCCATTCATCTTTCATATACACATAGCTTACAGGGAATTTTATACCAAATATTTGATGTGTCTTCAGTTTAATTGTTATGCATCACATGAGGTCAGATGCAGAATTTTCCACTTTTGTTACCATGTCAGTGCTCAGAAAGATTTGGACTTTGGAACATTTCAGGCTTGGAATTTTTGGATTAGGGATGCTCATGTTGTAGCAAGAAAACAAATAACTAAATTCAAAATTGGGGCATAGGATCTTTTTAAAAAAATTTGTTCTAATTAGTTATACATGACAGTAGAATGCATTTTGACACATTGTACACAAATGGAGCACAATTTCTTCTTCCTCTGGGCTTAATATCGTGCAGAGTCAACACCTGTAGTGCATTCATACATGTATGTGGAGTAAAATGTCCATCTCATTCCATCATCCTTTCTATCTCCAAAACCCACCTCCTCCCTCCCCTCTGCACAATCCAAAATTCCTTCATTCTTCCCTACCTCCAACTCCCCATTATAGATTAGTGTCCACTTATCAGAGAAAGCATAAGGCCTTTAGTTTTTTGAGTTTGGCTTATTTTGCTTAGCATGATATTCTCCAGCTCCATACATTTACCTGCAAATGCCATAATTTCGTTCTTTAATGCTGAGTAATATTCCATTGTGTATATGTGCCACATTTTCTTTATCCATTCATCTGTTTAAGGGCATCTAGGTTGGTTCCATAGTGTAGCTATTGTGAATTGAGCTGCTATAAACATTGATGTGGCTGTGTCACTATAGTATGCTGATTTTAAATCCTTTGGGTATAAACCGAGGAATGGGATAATTGGGTCAAATAGTGATTCCATTCCTAATTTTCTGAGGAATCTTCATATTGCTTTCCATAGTGATTGCAACAATTTGCAATACTACCAGCAATGTATAAGTGTATCTTTTCCCCCACATCCTCACCAACACTTATGGTTGCTTGTATTGTCATTCTGACTGGAGTGAGATGAAATCTTAGAGTGGTTTGATTTGCATTTATCTAATAGCTGAAGATGATGAACATTTTTTTCATATGTTAATTGATTGTATTTCTTCTTCTGTGAAGTGTCTGTTCAGTTCCTTAGCCCATTTATTGATTGAGTTATTTGTTTTTTTTTTTTTTTGGTGTTAAGTTTTTTGAAATTTTTATATATCCTGGAGATTAATATTCTACCTGAAGTGTGTGTTGGTAAAGATTTTCTCCTATTCTGTAGGTTCTCTCTTAACAATTTTTATTGTTTCCTTTGCTGAAAGAGGTTTTAGTTTGAATCCACCCCATTTATTGCTTCTTGATTTTACTTCTTGTGCTTTAGGAGCCGGTTCCTAATCCAACATGGTGGAGATTTGGTTTGGACCTAGGATCTTAACAGATATTTCTCAACATGACAAACATGGCTCAATATGGCTAAGATGCTCAATGTGATATCACCAGAGAAATGTAAATTAAAATCACAATAAGATCTAAATTCACAACCATTAGAATGGCCACTATCAAAAGATGAAAGATAGCATGTTAGAGAAGATGGGGAAAAGGAAACATTGACATATTATTGGTGGGAATGTAAATTAGTGCAGCTATTTTGGAAAACAGTATGGAGGTTCCTCAAAATATTAGAAGTGGAATTACAATATGATCCAGCAATTATACTACTAGGTATTTATTCAAAGGAAGTGAAATCAGTATGTCAAAGAGATATCTGCACTTCTGTGTTTGTGTTCAGCATTATTTCAAGATATGAAATCTACTGCATGTGTATCAGTAGATGAATTGATGAAGAAAAAAATGTGATACACACAAACACACACAGGGAGTACATTTGGCCTTTAAAAAGAAAGAAATTCTGCCATTTCTAACAACATGGATGAACCGAGAGGATATCATTATCAGTTTGATTCGGGCAATCTACAATGTGTGTATATATATTTCATAAGAACATAATGTACATGATAAATACAATTTAAAAAGTAAAAAATAATGGTGAAGTTAAAAAAAAAGCAGATTCTCAAATGTTATTCTCAGTAGGTCCTGATTGGGGTCCAGGGATCTGCATTTTAATAGACACCTACTTCTGGTATCTACACACTAGGTTTTGACAAACATTATCCACTGGGGTTAAAAACATTTGCTACTTTTTGGAGCAAGTTTTTATTTTTTAAGTCTTAATCTTTCACAGACTGATACAATAAAAATAAATCACTAGGAAAATAAATATTTAAAAATAAAACATAAAATACAAGCTCTATTTTAAAATTTGATTTAGAAGATATAAAATTTCTCTGCCAAGTTGCTGTACAAATATCTAACTATGTGTTCTCAGTTTCTGGACTTGTCTGTGGACCATACTTAGAGTAGCAATGTGCAAGGAAAATGAAAGGATTTGTGTCAATAAAAAAAATGGAGTTGGGTCCATTTGTTTTTCTAATACAATGGAATAGATGAGGGTAACTCAGAGATTCTTAGCTGTGTCTTGTAAGCTCACGTTCCTCTGTTAAAAAGTTTTAACCTCTCTTTAGAACTCTATGACACTAAAATGAAAAAGGCTTAGGAAATAGTATCTGAGGTCATTTGCTGATTCTGGAGACACAAGAAGTGGAGTGCCCACGTTTAATTACACAAGGGCGGAGGGAAGGACTGTGGGAGAAATAATGATGGTGTCTGCAGTGAAGAAGAGTCAGTTTGATATCCAGGGACTACAGGGAAGAAGCATGGGAGAGAGAGGAGGGGGAGAGTGGGAGATGACTGTCTGTCTGCTAGTGAATCTAGGGATGACATTGGTCCCGTTACTGGTGATTTCCTCATGGCTACCATGAGCTCAGTTGGACTTGAATTCTCTGAGGATGGTCATGGCTGATGGTGTCTCTTTTCCCTTCTCTTAACGGGTCAGCCCACGTGCAACTATGGAGGATAAAGAGTCAGACATTTGTGATGTTGATGTCATAAGTGAAACCACTCCGCTCGTGGAAGGTATGGAGAGCAGAGCTGTCTTCCCAGGTATAATGAAAGGTGATTACTTAGTAGCATAAAAGTCTACGTGAATTTCCCATTTTGTTTGAATGTTCAAATGAGGCTCTAAAAATGTCATGGGCTGCCAATTTTCATAAATCCCTTTTCATCTATGAATTCCCTTGCATGTTTTCTGAAGGAACCTGATCTTTTGTACTACAGTGTCAGCATTCTGGCTTTACGGATTGAATCCCCGAGGCGTTGCCTATCATGTTTCTTTCATCTCCCATGTTCTGTGCAAAATGGTGGTTAAATCTAGATCAGCAGTGGCCAATAAAAATGTAACTTGAGCCGCGTATGCAATTAAAAATTTTTTAGTAGCTGCCTGAAAAGATACGAAGAAACAGATGAAATTTATTTTTATAATAGCTTTGTTAAGATAACCTACACACAATAAACTGAACAGATTTTAAGTATACAATTTGAAACTAGCACTGTAATCAGGGTATCAAACATATTCACCACTCCCAAAACATTTTCTCATGATATTGGATGACCTTTATGTCCTGCCCCTCTGTCTCTCCCCATTCCCAAACAATGATTGATTGATTTCTGTCACTATATATTTACTTGCATTTTCCAGAATTTTATAGAGTGGCATCACATCATGCCCTCACTTTTATCTAGGTTTTTCCCTACGAATAATTATTTTCAAGTTCATGCATTTAATACATGTATTAACAACTCCTTTTTATTTCTAAGACTAACTCTATGATATGGACATATTAATATGTCACAATTTTTTACCCATGAATATATATTAAAATTTATATTAGACTTATTCTCAAAAATAAGAAAATATTTTCTTGACAATATGTGAAACACATTTGAAGAAGGCCATGTAGTCACACAAAAATCAAACAAGAACGTTATAACATCGTTAACATGTGGTGTTAGAATATTATCTGATGGTAATACAATAAAAATAGAAAAAAAAATGTATTTTAAATATCTTGACAACTTAGGGACCAAAAATGCTTTCTAAGTATGTATATGCATGTATAGAATCATGAAGAACATCTTAATAGAATTATATAGGATACATAAAAATAAAATCAGAAAAAATAGCCTTAAAGGCTTTTGGCATTCAGGAGTAAAAACATAAAAATAGTGTTCTATACAGAAATTCAAAACAATGAAATTGCTACTGTTAGTGATGAGTGTTTTTATTACTGGATGGGGGAAAGGAAGGTAGGTGCTGAGACGAACAATCCTCTGAACATGCTAATTACTGAATAACTCAAACAAAATTGGAAGTTGGAAAGGGAGCAGCAGATGAAGGTTAAAGATTTAAGCTGTATTACATGTGGCCATAAATTTCAGAATATACACAGAGTGGATAATTATATTAAAAACAAGATATAATCAGATAATTTACAAAGGGAGCAATACAATTGCTTTAATAACAACAATTTCAATTTCACTTGTAAACTAGAATCATAACGCTTTTTGGTTTTGTTTTATTTTTCTTAAGTCACTAAATAGAGTCTAATGAAAATACCCAATGCTAATGGTGCTGTGATGTCCCCATACTTTATTGCTGACTATATATTTTCACAATCCTTTTCAGAGGCAATTTGGCAACACATACCAAGAGTCATGATGGCATTCACATCATTTGCATAAGCCTTGGGGAGTATTTCCTAAGGTCAGCATACATTAGGAAATCAGAGGATGGTTACTCTTGCACTCTGCAGAGTTTACGTCAAGGTCATTTCAGGAAATGCTTTCAGTGACAAAGGCATCCTGGACACTCCCTCAGGAAGTGGCTCCGAGGACATTCTGTGGTCAGTCCCAAACCTCAGTAGGGAGTGCACTTGCACAATGAGAGAGGGAGTCCAGTGCCAGGACCCACCCAGAGATGTGGCATATAGGTTCAAGAGGAGAGGAGCCTTCGGAACCCTACTACTGGGCCAGTATCCTCACCTGGGTCTTTGTGGGCTGTAGCAGGTGCTTTGGAGACTGACTAGCAAGGCTGAAGTCCTGGGTTAAGAGCTCTGCCTTACAATCTGATTCATTGTCCCCTTTCATAAAGCAGAGGTAAAAGTAGTGCCAGGACGAATGTGATCACACACATCAGGTATGCATAGCTCAGTGCCGGGCATGTTCTGCTACTAACTCAACCTTGGCTTTGTGTTGTAACATAGCTGGCAGAAACTCCAGAGGTCTGGTCCTAGCCTAACACTAACTAGTCAAGTGAGTTTGGACATATCAGTTAATCTCCCAGAGAGCTGGGCTGGATTAGCTGATCTCTTTCACCAGCTTTACAATGTTGCTGCGGAGACAGTCCTGGCTCCCCTCAGGTTTAAGAGCTTATACTACTTGGAGCCAGATGCACCTACATATAGACCCTGGCTACGACTACTTGTATGCAGTGTGATTTGGAGCATATGATTTCACCCTTCTATGCCTCCATTTTCTCACTAATAAAATGGGGCTAACATGGGCCTTTGGCAGGGTTCCAGGAGGAGGTAGCAGATTGGCTGGCCCAGGAAGAGGGTTCCTTAGAAGGAACTCTTGCAATTGTGATTTATTTTTATATACCATGTTTTCTTTATCCATTCATCTTTTTTTATTATTATAACATTTCTTACATACATGACAATAGTGGAGTGCATTACATTCATAATTTTTTTGCATTACAATTGTTAATATGCCTTTATGAACAATTTACCAAATCTCTGTTTGTATATATGGTATGTTGACACCAAATTCACATCTTCATACATGAATTTTGCGCAATGATGACCGTCTCCTTCCACTATCCTTGCTATTGTGATTCTAACTAGGTCAGAGTCACATGACCACAGATTTTTGACATTGGTAGGGTTGTTAGAAGTATAGTAGCCATTGTGATTTCAAATATTCTATTTATTGTCCATATAAACTATAATTTGTGCTGGGAATTAAAAATATTTTACAGTAAAATTTCTTGTTCCTAGGTAGGTTCAGAATTCTGAATAATCCCAATATGCTTTGATTTTGGGCTGCAATTTAAAAGTTCCTGTTCTAAACATTGTACATTGTGCATTTAAATCATAGCTGGAGGAAGGCAGATGGATGATGTTAACCAATGATGTGGGTCAAGGGTGATAAAATTCTTTTGGAAATGCTATAGAATAAAGATGGAGTCGCTAATGAAAACTACCAGGGGGAATTCTGTTGAAGTGTGATCATGCAGTTTGGAATTAGCTAGTTCTAGAGGAAGCTGTCAAAATTCTTGCTCCCAGGACTAGCAGTATAGAAACAATGTTCTTAGCAACTGAGGATTCGTTATTCTATGGGATATCATTTTCTGTTTTAACCTTCCATCTGCCTTACAGCAATATGTTGGATATAAATAGTTCCACACCAGCAAATTAGGATATGAAATAACTTCTAATCCCATCTCTTACACCCCTCTTCATGCTGTCTCACTGTTATCTCTCATGCTTGGTGTGAAAATTCCCGAAGGGCAAAGTCACATAGCTACTCCTGTTCTAAAATTAGATCTGAGTGATGGTGAGAAATTTGGAAACAGTCACAGGTCTTAAAGAATTCCATTAGTGTTATTGATGTGCCACATTATATGCTTTTAATGGGATCATTAGCCAAAGGATAGAATAATAAAAATTTAAAGCTAGAGCAAAGCTAAAGAGGTAAACTAATCCAAACCATTTATTTCACAGATGACAAAATGAGACTAGGAGGTGAAGTGACTTTCTCAAAGTCACTTGGTGAGTCAGTGGCAGGGCTGGGGTGGGTACCCAGTCCTGGGCTCTACACCCATCCTGCTCCCAATAGATGATGAAGTCCTTAAACTTTCTCACATCTCTGATGACATCATGGGGACTGACTATCTGGGGAGCAATAAATGTTTATGAAGTTTATGAATTCACGTGAAATAGTATTGTAGGAGAAATGCAAGGCTTTCTGATTCTCTATTCTTGCCATTATTAATGAGCCTTTGGATGGTAGAGGGAAGAATCTCAAAGTTACAAAGTGATGAATATCAGCCCCAAAGCTTAATACGTAAAAACTCAGTAACTCATCAGAGACTAAAACCATTGAAATTTGCCATTATGCCTTTTAATTCAACACGATGCTCTAAAATTGTATTTTCAGCTACACTGAAAAAGGATACATCAAGAAGGGAAGATGAGAAAGTTGAGTCCCCGTTGTTCATCCAGGAGAAGCAAGGGGGAGTGCAGATGGTGACACTCTCAGGGCGATCATGCAGAGCCCAAAGTGTCACGTGTGGTCATTGCAGAAGCACATGATCTGACATTAAAAACACCCACATTTTCTAAAAAGCATAAAGCATAGAATACTGTTTATTTACAGATGTAGCAGAACTGTTTCTATACTTGAGCCCAGGTCTGTCTGACTGGATTTCAAGCTTTCATCTGTTGGAAAGTTTTGATCGTTGCTGAACAAGTGAAGAGCACAATTAAAATCACCTAGAGAACCATCATCAGTGCCATTAAAACCATTTGGTATCTGATATTTTTGCTATCATTTACTCGATCATTAGACATATTCCCCTATATTTTTTTTTCTTTTTAAAACTACAGATAGGAAGGAAGACAGGGACAGAGGTAAGTGGTAGAGGTAGTGATGGTGTTGTTGGTGGAGGTGGTGAGAGTGTGTGTGTGTGTGTGTGTGTGTGTGTGTGTTGGAGCTGGAAAGTGGAGGATCTGGGAACAGATGATGGACATCTTCGACAGCCTGAACTTTTGAAAAGTGGTGGTTTTCAACTGTTGTTCAGGCTATGGGGGAGGATGTCGGCAGCCTTTACGCCACATAGTGAGAGCAGATCTTGCATTATGGTGTGCGGCACGTGCTCACGCATGCAGCTGAAACAGAGGCTTCATGAAGCAGCACTTACCTTTCTTGTCGGCACACTTTGTTAGCTTTTGTTCTTTTTTCTCCTATCTGGTTTATTTTTTTACAATGCTGATCATGACTCATTAAACTGATTTCACAACTCTGAGTGAAATCAGTCCATCCTTGACCAAAACTTCACTCTGAGGCCCAGAACTGTTTATTCCGCTTGGAGGCTACTCTTTTCCCATATTGCTTAATTTTGCACATGTGTAAATACTTTTTCAGTGGAACTCTGTGGAGGTGAGCATGGGCAGGGTGAAGAGAGTAGCTGGGAACCCTGAGTTAGGGAGAAGGGAGAACGTGAGTGGTGGAATGAGAGGAGGGGGTTCAAGTCTGTGTCCTTGTTTCCTGTGTATGCTTCTTTGCTGTATAAGGGGCTAACTCTACCCACCCCCAGCTCTTCCCTCAACCAGGACCAGGCTACATGAGGTTACAAAGTGTGTTTGTTTGTTTGTTTGTTTACTTTGCTTTCTTTCACATAGAGTGTGGCTTTGGTTTTAATGATAACAAATAAAAACAGAAATGTTTTGGAGAAGGTGGGCAGAGCAATAATAAGAAAATATCATGATATGTTGAAATTCTGGAACTTAAGGTGTCCAGACGGTGACACCCAGAGCAGGACTGTGCCCTTGTGCCTTCGGGGTGAGCTCTGTAAGCAAAGAGCAGATGCCCTCTTCACCCTGTGGCTGCTCATCCTCTGCGGAGCTTCACTGGAGGGTGTTCACCCAGGCAGAAAATAGAGCAATAAGGACAAAAGGAGGTCTCGGAACTGAGTAGCCTGCCCTGTGCCACAGAGTGAAGTGTAGTCAGTGACGACCTGAATACATGACTTTGGTCCCATCAGTGATCATACTCTCACCCAGGGACAGCAGCTGTGCCCCACACTGTAGCAGTCTGCTCCTCCTGTCTGTGGAGGGGTTGGTGTGAACCCACTGTGCTACCAGTCCTGCAGAAGTCCTGCACATACAGCTCAGTACATGACACTTGACGATGGTAACAAATGGCCATGCACTTGCCATGCTGTCCTTTATATCATTATTTGAGAATGTATTCCTCAACTTATCAGAAATGTTCTAGAATTGTGTGCTGTCATGGCAGCAGCAAGCGCAGACAGAGCTCCAGAGGTCACATTGAGTGGTTGACCTACACCATCTAGGTGTGTGCATTTGTCCTCTGTCGCTGGCTAACATGAGTTTCTCAGAGCCTTTACCATCATTCAGTAATGTGTGACTGGACAGTGTAGTCTAAACTACAAACATACTTGTGAGTTATTTTGATTTGTTTCGCTATCCAAAGGCCTAGAAAGAAGTATGTCATACTACTAAAACATGATTTCCTTTACCTGGCCAGATGATATGAAGCATGTATTTTTTTTCTTGGTGATATTCTTTGTTTTTCAACTTTTAAAGTTCAGCAAAAGTTACTTTTGATAACCGCTGAGGCAGGCGGTGTATCCGTGAGCCATCCCGCCATCGGGCAGGGACATCCCGGGGAGGGGGCAGAACTTCAGGCAGGTTGGCTTCCCTAGGTCAAGGGCAAAGCCGTGGTGGGGCCCAGCTGTGAGCTGTCAGCCCTCTATCCTCCCTGAAGGAGTAGGAGGAGGTCTCTGTGTGGCCCAGTGTCTACCAAAGTCCACCCCTTGCCTGCCTCAGATGCTCTTCCGTCATGTACTAGGCTCACCTCCTCAAGGATGGCATCTCCAGGCTCCTGGTCGGTCTCGCTTTGTGAAGATGGTTCCTAGAGAAAGAGTAGTGGGACCGAGTTCAGCCCCATCAGTGCACCTGGAGTTAGGGCCCAATCGATGCTCGTCCTCCCCCTCCTTTACTACCGGCTCAGGTTCCCTCCAACCTCAGTGGTGGCCCAGCTGGACACAGAGGCCAGGCCACCATCCCGTTGTACCTGAAGGGAGCTCAGTTTCTCCTCCTCTTGTCCTTACCAGGCCAGGCAGCATTTTTCTTCTTACTGTAGAAATCTGGGCATGGGTGTTCTGAGGGACACCCCAGGATGTCACATGGGTGTTCTGAGGGACACCCCAGGGTGTCACATGGGTGCCAAGGGCTTTATTCCCTGCCCCCATGTAGACAGCAGCCTACATCCACCTGATGATGCAGGCCCATCACGTCTGTGACCAGGTGAGTCCTTCCTGGACACATATTCTTTTAAAAAATGACCTCTTTTCAGGTATGATTTACACAGAATTAAACTCACATGCCTGAAGTTTGAAGAGTTTTGACTCATTATCCCCACTATCAAGAAATAGGGCCTTCCATTGCAGAAAGCTCCCTCTTCTCCATGAATATTGAATTAGTGCTTCCCCCCCCCCCATCCTCTCTCCAGCCCCAGGAAACAACTGAACTCCTTTTTGTCTCTATAGGTTGTAGACATGGTTTTACTTTCTTTAGAATTTAATATTAACGGAATGATCCAATATGTAGGTTTTCGTGTCCACTTCTTCTGCTTGACACGGTATTTTTAAGAGTCTTCCCTGTGGTTGCATAATGCAGTTGTTTCCTCCTTTTTCCTGCCGAGGAGCGTTCCACTCTAAGGATATACCACAGTTTGTCTGGCCATACATGTCTCAATTCCATCTTGGGCAGTCTCCAGTTGGGCCTATGAGGACTAGAGCTGCTATAAATACTCACGTCTTTGTGTGGACATATGTTCTCATTTTTTTCTTGGGTAAATACCTAGAAGCAGGATTGCTGGGTCATATGATAAGCATATGTTCAACTTTATCAGAAACCGCCAAGTTATTTTCTGAAATGGTTGTGACATTTTATATTCAAGCAGTCACGTTGGAGCGTCCCAGGCAGCCCACTCGTTTTTTTTTCCCCTCAGGGAGAAGCTGAGATAATTGATTCTAGATATCTTTTCTAAATATAAGTTATGAATTCCCCTCCACTTACTGCTATTGTGGTATGCAGCCATCTTGATAGGCTGTTGTTTATCATTAAATAAAACATTTAAAGTTTTCTTTTATGGTTTCTTCTTTGATCCACTGGTTAATTAACCATGAAAACATGAATTTCCAAATATTAGTAGATTGCCAAGGCACCTCTCTGTTACTAATTGCCGAGTTAATTCTGTTGTGGTCCGAGATCCCATTTTATATAATTTCAGCTCTTTTAAAGTTGCCGCCCTGTGCTGTGGAACCGTGTATGTTCTCCAGTGGCAAAAGTTTATGTGTATTTACAAAGAATGTGGTTTCTGCTTTTGTTGTGCACAGTATTCTATAAAATGTGATTATGTGAAAAAACAGTGATCTTGCAAAGCCAAGTTTGGTTCCTTCTCTTCCATTCATGAATGAGGAGAGCAGTGCTTCTCTTGGCAGAGGCGTGGGCCTCTTTTCTGGGTTCAGAGGGGCCAGGGAATCTGCCATTGACCTGTGTCCCCAGCCAGGCCCCAGGATCTCACGTCTTCTCAGTGAGCTTCTTGGACTTGACACAGCACTTTCCCGAGTGGTGAATCCACTCTTGGTACAATGGATTCTGAGCCAGATCATCAGCTTTCTGCACCTTTTAGTTGCAGGAGGTGAGAGTCTCTGTGCGTGGTTTGAAGGAGCGCCCTGGCTTTCATACTTCACCTTAATCACCAGCGGCTTCTCCTTGAGTTCCCAGTGGCCATCTCATCCCATAATCCATGTAATTACTGTTTCCCCTCAGTCTCTCTAATGCGGAGGCTTGGCAACCATCAGCATTTCTCTTCCATGGGGTACCCCATTTCAGTTCTCAGTGCCCTCCCACTGTCTTCCAGAGGTGATTAGCACTCTACCATGGCGTGGGAGGAGGGTGGTCTGGCTCCCAGATCCCTACTTCAGAGTCCGTAAGCAAGTGAGGGAAGCAGGTTTCTATAAAGAGAGAGGTTAAACTGTGAGGCCTTCGCAACTGAACTTTGGTCCAACAGGAAGCTGGGGAGCATAAAAGCTCCCCCACGGAGGCCTCTGCACACCACGGGGAGCAGTCTTTGGAGCAGGATGCATCAAGGAAAGGAGCATATCCTAGTGCAAGACAGCTCCCTGCAGCTGGAGGTGGTGCTGAGAGAAAGACTCAGCTGCTGTCCCCTGATCAGCATCCTCGGAACTCCACAGTGTTGGGGGATCTGGATGGCATATTGCAACACCCGCTCCACCATGGCTAACAAATCCTGAATGCTGCCACACTTTAAGAGGTCATGGATGACCTCCTGATCCTTCTGCCTGTCACTTACAGTATGACAATTAAAACAGAGCACAGAATACAAAAACACAGCTTTAGTTTCTGCAGATACTTTATTTGCATCTCCAGGTGGAGTTTATTTAAGATGGAGAGTCTGTTTTTTCCTTACCTCTCTCACAATTCTCATCCATATGGCCACCAACTTTATCTATGCCATTCCTTTATGCTTTTTATGTTGGAGACGTCCTGGAAATTTCGGAAGGAAGGCAGGGGAAAGAAGTTCATCCAGGGCTACCACTTTTGGCAGGGCAGGTTTTGAACTGCACAGCTCTCCATGGAGATTTTGAGTGAAGCAAAAGGAGGAGGCCTTTTTTTTTTTCCTAGACAATTTTATTTCTACAAATTATGCCCATCACATTTCTATAGGTTTTAGCATAAGTCATACTTGGCTTTGGTAATAGAAGTGGGAAGGAAGAGAAAAAAATTAGAAGCATAGAAAGATTGGTTTTTGTGTGAAATCAGCTCAGATGGAGAAGGCATGAGTTGGGAAGACAGCATAAGGTGTAACTTCATGCAAGTGCTCAGGAGAATGAATTGGGGATTGTATAGCTGAGGAGTTGGTCAGGGATGGTAAAGAGAGGAACTGGCCACAGAGAACAATAACGGGACATAGTTGCCCCTTTGTGGTATAACTCTGGGGGAAGCAGACCTAGGCACTACTCTGCAGACCGCCCTCATTAGAACAGGAGCCACAGAGGGATGAGTAGGTTACATTTGTATGGACAGTGACTCAGAGCAGGTGAGAAGGTCTGCAAGAGCAGATGACTTCACATTTACTGTACATTTACCTTGCTCATCATATGGCTGATGGCCCCCTTCCTATCTGCCTCTAGAGAGAATTACTAGAAAATTTAAACGTTGCAACTTGAAAGCTTGACCCACACAATCAGAAAGTAGGATACAGCTGTGGGTGTGGGTGAGCAGAGGTAACCCAAAACAAGAAAGCATGTCTTTTTTAGAATTGATTTTTATGGGTGCATTATACTTATATAATTATAATGGAATTTGTTGTTATATATTCATTCATGCACACACTGTAACAATATCATTCAGTCAGTTTTGTTCCCTCCCCCCTCCTCCATGTACAAATCTCCTTCTAGTCTTTATGTTCGTTCTACTGAGTGCCACCCCTGATTCAATCATTGGTAGGAGAGGGGGTGGTAAAATGGGAAGGACTGACACTTAGTGATGTTCCCTCCATTCATCATCTACCTCTACCTAGAAAGCCACCCCAAAACTAAAGGGTTAAAAAAAACATGTGCTCATAATTCCAGGGGTCAGCAATATGGGTTGGTCTCAGCTGGGGGTTCTTCTGCTGTCACACCTGGGTCACTCATGTGGCTGCTGTCCCCTGTGGGCTTGAACTGGATGTTCTAAGATGAGCTCACTCCAGGGCTTGGCCCCCTCTACCTGGTTCTCATTGCAAAGAGACCAGTCCCAGCTTCTTCACGAGGTGATCCCAGGTTCCCAGAGGGTGAGAGCAGAAAGACGTGGCCCAGGCTCTGAAGCTCCATGGTGTCACAGGGTCACATCCACTGCACTGTATAGCTAAGTAAGTCACAAGTTCTGCGGGGACTGAAGGAGTGTGGGCAGATTCCTTCTCATCATGGAAGAAGGTGGCAAGTCACAGGACATGGCTTCCAGGAGGTGGGAGATTTTTGTGGCCATCTTTGAAAATAATCTATCACATGTCTAAGGCTAGTGAGGGAACGAGGAGACATATTAGCTAGTCCTGCACCTTTCACTTGTTAACCAGTTGGCCAAGATGAACAGTGAATGTTTCCTTTTTTTAAAAAAAAATGCTCTATATTTTAAAAAGTATTTATTTTTTAGTTGTAGGTGGACACAATTCATTTATTTTATTATTATGTGGTGCTGAGGATCAAACCCAGTGCCTCACATATGCTAGGTGAGCGCTCTACCTCTGAGCCACAACCCCAATCCAAAATGTTTCCTTTAAAGGGGGGAAATGGTCATCCTAATATCCCAATAAACATCTGTCACTGTGTAGGGGGTCAAAAGTCAGTGACTCTGCCACTCCAGGGAGGTTTAAATACTTCAATGAATGTTCAGATGTTTTAAAGTTACTTATCTACGAATGTTTTGGTGTTTTTGAAGTAAGGTTAATGATGCCATTAGAAGAACGTTCTAATGCTTCTCTGCTAAATATACAACCATAATAAATTGCTGGCCATCTTCTTACATTAGAATTGTAAATGACCTTTAATGTGGCCTGCTATTTTTACTTGAGAAACTACATCAAATCATTGACATCTACAAATATTGTAAATGGAAATAACTTATCCCCAGGAAGCATAGGCCACTTTGTGAGAATCTGATGATTTCAGTGGTTAAAAAGAGGAGAAAAGTAATGGGGATGAAAGTGAATATTTTCTTCACACCTACTATGTGCCAGGCATGCTGTATATGTTAACTCACAGATCCCAATAATCCCACGTGTTGAGTAGTACAGTCATTCTTTTTGCAGACGAAAAACCTGAGGTTCAGTAAGGCAAATGGCTTGTCAAAAGTCGTCACTTTGATAAACAGTTGGAAGGCCAGAAGTCAACCTAAATCTCCCCTAGCTCATTTCCAATGTTAATGAGATTGATATCTATATTTTATGTATACACTAATATTATGCACATTTTAGCATACTTTCAAAAAAATCCAGTTCATAAACTTTTTTCTGCTGCCACACTTCATAATTATACTCTTTAATGACTGCATAATATTTTCATATTCCTTTGATATCTTGGACCCTGATTCAATTTCACCATTCTCTTGATTTGGATATGTAGGTTGTTTATGTTAGGGCCCAGCACCATGCATTAGATTAAATAGGTCCTAATAAAACTTCTAGGGATGATTGTAACTATTTTCTGTATCAAATGTTGTGTTTATAGCTCATGTGGACTTTGTCATTCTTTTTAATTTTCTTTTGTCATTTTCCTTGAAATGGAATTTATTAACAAGATTAGACCTGCTTAGATAATTGTAAGTACGTGAAATTAGGTACATTCTTATTGCCTAGTATTTTCACTCATGATACCCAAATCCTCTTGCTTACTTCAAAAGTGGTTCCTTTCTCAGCACAAACCTGTTTGCATTGTAAAGCAGCATTTTCTGAATCACATGAAAGGGTGAGTTTCTGATGTCACAGAGCAGAGTAGGGTGGCATCCAAATAAATGCACATCTCACCTCTAGCCAGTAGATGTCTCTGTTTCATTCACCCTCCATTGCAGGTTTCTCCTGAATGGGAAAACTTGGGAGCAAAACCTTGGGCAGGAGGTTGTCTCTTGTTACTTCCCTCCAGCCTCCTCTGTCCCTTGTCCCCTCCTCTCACCTAGTTCCCTGATTGGTAGTTGAGGCAGGAGTGCCATTTGAGTTTAAACACATTCTCTACTTCACCAAACCTGTTTTTGCAAACAGCTTGGTTACCGAAAGCAATTTCCAGAGCCGAAGCCTTTCTCTTTAAATAGCACCATTCTCAAAACTAAAAGCTGTGTTACTGAGTCATAACAATTAATTACATTCAGAGGTGAGAAGACAGGATTTAACGCTCTAATGCGATTTGAATTTAGGCTGCTATCTCATCCCACTGCTATTTAAAACAAAATCACTTTTCCACGGAAGCATCAGCAACTAAGGGTGGTTTCAAAGCTTAAGTCTGAAGACATCCCTGGCAACCGAATATTCCCATTTTAGCTTCCTGGGAGGTTTCAGATGTATGTTTGGATTTTCTAGAGAAGTGGGGGCTCAGAGATCTGTTATTTTCACCACAAATTTTCTAACTATGGCAGGTGTGCAGGGTGCATTATTAGAAAAGGGAGAATATTGGCTCAAAACAGAAATCACATCAGCAAATATCTAAGGCACCTTTGCAGATGGGGCTGGCAGCCATACCTCAGGAGAAGGGATGCACTGGAGGTTCAGAGCAAGCACAGGGGCTGCAGAAGGGGCTGAGAAGGTTTAAGTGGTTTTCAGGCAGCAGGACAAGGTCTTTTGGATGTCTGGGAGACAGAGGCCAGCTCCTCAGAGACAGCTCTGTGGCTTTGCCAGAAGCTCCTGGAGATCACGAGGGTTCTGGACTTGCCTGCAGGGCAGCATCACGTAGTGACTGTACCATCCAGAAGGAGCTGCCTGGAGCCCTGGAGGTACATGGCCACTCTCTTTTGTGGGGCTTTGTGAGCCATGCACTCCAGAAGCCTTGAGAGATGGGGTTTCCATTCCTACAATAGATGCTGGAATGACCCCATGAGCTAAGGGCTGGATTCTGTAGTGCCTTGATCCCTGGAGATCACAGCACCTGGGGGTGAGGGAGATGGACAGGCAAGGGTGCTTATTTTGGCATTGCACAGGTGGTCAGGCTCCAGGTGTCTCTGTTGGAATGCTCTCAGGACCCTTTCCTGCCAGTCCTGCTGACCTTTGGAAACTGCCTTTCAGAAGCCTGGGGCTGTTCTCTTCCTATCCTTCTCTCTTCCTTCCTTGGGGTTCTGGAAGCTCTCCCCACCGTGTTCTTCTTGCACACTCTTCACCAGGCCTGCAGACCCAGTCCCACCAAGCTCCCCTGATTCCCCAGCCCCAGATGGTTTCTCTTTCCATCGTCTTTTCAGAGGAGGGAGAGGCACGGGACATGAGCTGACGTCATCTGAGTGCGCACTCTGTAGGTCATCTACTGGCTTTGTGATCTGGACAAGTGATCCAACTCCACAAGCTTCATTGTTTCATGCCCTCGGTGCTCATATTAACGTTTCTCTAGCTGACTTGTCCAGAGGACAGGGAGAGCAGGGCCTGCACAGGAAGGGGGGGGGGGTCTTTCAGGACAGCCAGCACTGGCCTGTGAGCTCAGGCCAGGGAGCCCTGGGGTGGCTTCCTTTTGGGTTTCAGAGCCTCCTGAGCACCTGGTAGATCTCAGGAGTCCTGTGGCTGATGGGGCTTGTGCCACCCTTCTTCTCACCCCTCACCATGCAGACCCCTCCCCTCTTCCACATCTCACAACGGGCATTCCCCAGGGCCCTGATCTCAGAAGCTCTACTCTTCCCTTCTTAGGACATCCACCCTGTTATATTTTCTTCCTGACATTTATCACCACTGGATATAGCAACGGCTTGTTCATGTGTTTTCTCCATCATGACTATCTCCTCCACCTAGAATGCAAGCTCAGGAGAGCAGGAACACGTTCTCATATTCTGCCCCACTGGATTCTCTGAACCCAACACAAGGGCAGGAGCATAATAGGTGCCCATTTAAGTCGAAAGGGAAGAATGAATGGAAGTCTCTCTCCAGCACAGTGCCAGGCACATCACCAGCGCTTCTGAGATCCCGGCTGAATGGAAGCCTGGGACCCCCAGGACGATGCCTGCCTTTTATAAGAAGCCACCTCCCCCCACAGTCCCCAGGCCCTTTCTCCCAGCCAGGCTGTCCCCCTTTCCAGATCCTATGCTACTGGGGCTTCCCCTGTTCCGGCCTCGGCATTCGTGCCTTGCCAGGGTCCCGGGACCGCTG